AGAATTAAGGCAGTTCTGAAGGCGAAAGGGGGTCAAACACCGTATTAGTATGGTGTTCCTAATAATCCTTTAGGTGAGTGTATGTCTAATGGGCAAAATCAGCCAGTGGCTTCGCGCATGTCTGGACGCTGAGGGATGAACGTATTCTGCTCGGACTGCAGCTGGGCGGGGCTTCTGCGCGACGGCTGGCCGCCTGTGAGTGCTTTGGGATGGGAGAGGAGCCCACGGCAGCACCCACTGCTCGGTGAGGAGAGTAAGAATGATACGTGCTTCCACGTCAGAGTCTCCAAAAGTCTACAATAACAACAAAAAAAGTCGCTAGATTTATCGCTAGTCGCTTTTTTGAAAAGGAGTCGCTAGAAGGGTCTAAAAACTCGCTAAATATAGCGACAAACAATTCCATTTTTGTTTCATCTGACCGCAAGATAGAAGGCCAGAAATCTTGTTCTTTGACCAGATGAGTTTTTGCTAAGCGTGTTTTTGTGTGCCTTTTTTGGAGAAGTGGCGTCCTCCTTGGTCTGCATGTGCTTTGCAAATATTTTTATTTTATACATGATAAAAAACGCACAGATGTCAGGTTGCCAGATTGTATGACTCTTCCTATTCTTGTTCTAGAGCGGCTGGTGGTGACGGGTGCAGATGAGCCTGTCTATGCACATGCTGGAGAGGATGTGACACTCAGCTGCTCTGTGGACACCCATGTAAATGTGACAGAGCTTCAAGTGAAATGGATAAAGACAGATGATGACGGTGACATCTTAGTGCTTCTGTATAATGATGGAGAGAACAGACCAGAGTTACAGGATGGGAGATACTCTGGAAGAGCTGAATTCTTCACAGAGGGAATTCCCAAAGGAAACTTCTCAATGAAACTGAGGAAAGTCAGAACTGAAGACAAAGGAGAGTTCATGTGTGAAGTCCACTCAGATACTGATTCTGCCAGTACAACTGCCAGGATAGCAGCACTGGGTGAGTCACTAGAAGGACTGGTTTTAATATGCATCTCAGCATAGTTTTCTTATGATTAAATCACAGTTTCATTCCCATGTGGGTCAGTGGTTCTGTTGTAGACTGATCTTTATGCCCATCCCACAGGGTTTAATCTGCTCTGTGTAACAGTAGAACCAGTGAAATTTAGTTCTGTTTAAAGCTGGCCATATACTTCAAATGAATTCAATAGAATCAGCGTCATTTTGGCAATATGGCGACATATGATGCGTAATTACCACAGTGATCACTGTTTCGGCGCACCGCCTGCGTCCCTGAGGTGAACTTTTTAAGTTTGTTCTGATCCTGCCCACTGTCCATGATTGGCTGACATAAATATGATACCATGGGGTTGGTCAGAAGGACTAATGCAGTTACCAGGATTGTTTGCACCACACCATGTGTATCTTTAAATAGCATAAGTTAATATGTTAATTCATGCATTTTTGTTAATGCTTGTGTTTTATTTAATTTTTTGGCTACCCTGTCTGTGCTGCTTCAAATATTAAACCAATAGTGGCTGTTAATAGAGAGAGTAACTTTCATTTTACAAGAGCTGTCATCTTACCACACCAGCACCACAATAATACATTTTAAGGGTTACCTTTTTATCATTTCCCACACACATTGATAGTCATGTAAATGATTGTAAACAGGAATAAGGGTGCAGGTAAATGTCTTGATTTTAATCCAGCACAAACAAAAAAATTGCAAAAAATTCATTATTTAAAAACAAACTGAAAATTTCAAAAACTCAAATGACTCAAAAGTGTGTGCTGCTCCCAGATATTTAAAGAAAAAGCTTCTGTTTGCTGCTGCCTGACACCGAAATGTCTGGTGGATTCATTATATTATATTTACGAATGTTTTAAAGGTATTTTTATTATTATTTTTAAAAATCACTTACATTTTGTTATGATGCGTGGAGCAGGCAAGCAGGAAAGTAGGCGAGCAGAGCCAGTGATGCGGGTAATCGGGGTTTAATAGGCACACAAGGGCAGACTTTCATAAACATTACAACACTACAATAACAGATCTGGGGGATAACGATTGAGACACGGACTAAATACACAAGACTAGGCAAAAGGAACAGGCAACAGGTGAGTACAACCAGGGATTAACACGAGGTAACGAGGTGGCCGTGGCAAACACGAGGATCGGACGGAGCTGGACGTGACACATTTAGCTTGATAGTATAACCGATGTTTTATTAGATTAGTAATGTAATAGCAGCAGCAAGAGTTAATGAAATAGGCCTACTTCAAAGAATATCTTTAAAAAGGTGTGTTTTTATTAACTGTTATTTAAAAATTGTTTACAGCTTATATTCAGCAAGCATTTACATTGTTAAATTCTGTTCCTTATTGGCAAGAAGACGACAGAATTTCTTTCTCACTCAACGGGGTGTTTACGGTATTAAACTTAAGCTCACAAGTTCCACATAGCCTTTTAAGTTTTTGGTCTCTGCCCCATCCTGCAACATTCTTGGTTAACAATATAGAGGTCCACCAACCTACTGAACACATCCATAACAATAGTTCCTATTGAATTTTGCCTGTTTTCTAATAAATGAAATCTAAGGTATCATCTCAATAAAAAATATAACCAAATCTCGTCAATAACCTGCTTTCCCATCCTGGATAACAAATACAATAACTGCATCCTTCAGGAATCAAAACATAAGGCCCATGGAAACAAAACATTGTTTACAAACAGTTCTGAAAATCACACAATCGCCCACCATTTTTACAGACTTTTTTTTCTTTTCATTCCCCCAAAAATCCATTGGTGTCCCACATAAGCGTTATTCAGATTCAGATTCAGAATACTTTATTGATCCCTGAGGAAGTTGCTACTGTATACCACAATGGGGCCTGATTTTGTAGTAACTGGTTTTTCACTGCATCCATGGCTGTGTTCTCCTCATGGATGGTGTGCCGTCGATCAGGCGCTGAGTGACAGTGGTCAGCAGTATCAATGTCCGTGGGCTCAACAGGGGCCACTCCACGAGCCCTTCTAAGGTGTGGTCAATTTCTCATGATAATGCCACCCAAGTCCAACTGCACCTTGTGCTTGTAGAGTATGTCTTTAGGTAGAGCTGGGTGGTATGACCAAAAATTTATATCACAGTATTTTTCAAAATTATATCAGTTTCACGGTATACAACGGTATTTTTTTTTTTAAGTATGACTGGCCATTTACCACATTTTACAGGATTTTACAGGATACATTTTTGTTTAATGTTTTTTGCTTTGTTCCCACATTAACTATATTATTTTATTATTATCCATTCCACCTACCCGCTACCTTAATGATAACGGACGGCTAACATGGTTGTTGACTAACTCCTTATATATAAACAGCTAATATTAAGGAGTGCGCTGGCTAAGTTAACATTTTTGATAAGTGTTTAATAGTTTGGTGTTGCTGGAATGCGAGCTTTACTGACTTTGTGATATTTCTCATAAAACCCGGGATGTCGGTCTTTAAGATGCTTCGGCAAGTTTTACGTGCTACTTGACTTCATCGTCACAACTTTGTAGCACTGTTTGCATAGAGGGTTATCGACATCTATGGAGGAAAATCCCGGACATTTTTCAAAAGGAATTGCACATTGCATTTGCAATTGCGTTTTCCATATGTGGACTCATAAAGTGTAACATAATTCAAATGCAATTGCAAATTTTGCATTACCGTTTGCTTTTTCGCTTTCGGAAACGAACACTGACTGCCAAATTTCAAATGAAAAAGCAAAGTCCATTTGCATCAACAGAATAGTCACCTGTCTATGGGCCCTTGAGCAAGGACCTTATCCCCAAGCTCCAAGGGTGCTGGCTGATCCTGCACTGTGACCCCCAAGCTTGCTCTCACCTGTATATTTGCCAGTGTGTCTTATGGAGAGCAAGATGGAGTAGGTGAAGTTAAGCATTCCAATGTTCTTATGCAAATGGAANGGACACTGACAGGTGGGGTCCTGAGGGGTGTTGGTCCTGTCAGGGCAAGGGAGCGGGAGTCCATTGGGAGGTCCCCGAGGGGTCCCACTCCAGCTCCTCTTCCTCACAGGAAAAAGGAGCTGGGTGCTAGTTGTCCGGGACCTCCTCGGGGACTGGTACTGGGGGGTCAGGAGTCTTTTCTCCATGGGAGGTAGCCAGCGAGGACGTGGGTGGGGTGGCTGCAGGTGGTGCTACCTCATCCACGGATGAGCAGGGCTGGACAGACGAGCAGGGCTGGACTGACGAGCAGGGCTGGACGGGCAGGACGGGCGAGCCGGACTTAACGGGCGAGCCGAGCTGGACATGCAGGATGGCCGAGCCGGGCAGGACAGGCGGGGCCGCGGGCACCTCGGGCGTGCAGCCAGCAGGGGGTGCCTCGGCGGGCACCTCGGGCGTGTGGCCAGCAGGGGGCGCCTCAGCAGGCGCCGCCGACACGTGGCCAGCAGGGGGCGCCTCAGCAGGCGCCTCGGACGGTGCTGCGGGCAGTGCGGCGGCAGCAGCAGCAGGCGGTGCCGCGGGCAGAGCGGCGGCAGCAGCAGCAGGCGGTGCTGCGGGCAGTGCGGCGGCAGCAGCAGCAGGCGGTGCCGCGGGCAGAGCGGCGGCAGCAGCAGGCAGGTCCGGAGCAGGCAGGTCCGGTACTGCCCCTTTAAGGGCTCTAGGGACCCGGGGAATAGCGTCCCTTACCGCCCGTATGCCTCCTTGGCCCAGGCGTTCTGCCCGATAGTTATACGCCTCCAAGGGAGGCGGCTGCTCGTCGGCGGGGCTGGCAGCGGGATCCTTCCAGGTGAGCGGGGAGCTCCCTTGCCCACTGGCAGGGATAACCGCGGAGCGCAGAGAGCAAGCCCCCACGAAGATCGTCGGGGCTCCTTCCCTTTTTCCCCTGTGCCTCTTCTTTCGCCGGCCCAGACAGGTAGGTTGAGGTGGGGTTGCCTCTGTGTGGGCGAGCGGCTGGAGCCGCTTCTCCTTCACCTTGTCGACAAGCCGCTGGAGGTTTGCGCGCACTTCCGCTATCGCGTGTTCTTCCGTGCGCGGTAACCTCTTGTAGCAGGGTCCAGCTTTGGTCTGCCAGGGCGAACAAGCTGGGGTCCTCTTGGATCTCCGGTTGCTTGCGCCAATACATCACCTCATGCAGCAGGAGGAGCCAGGGATCTTCCTCCTGCTGCAGTGCAGGAGATCTGTCATTCTGTTATGATGCGTGGAGCAGGCAAGCAGGAAAGTAGGCGAGCAGAGCCGGTGACGCGGGTAATCGGGGTTTAATAGGCACACAAGGGCAGACTTTCACAAACATTACAACACTACAATGACAGATCTGGGGGATAACGATTGAGACACGGACTAAATACACAAGACTAGGCAAAAGGAACAGGCAACAGGTGAGTACAACCAGGGATTAACACGAGGTAACGAGGTGGCCGTGGCAAACACGAGGATCGGACGGAGCTGGACGTGACACATTTAGCTTGATAGTATAACCGATGTTTTATTAGATTAGTAATGTAATAGCAGCAGCAAGAGTTAATGAAATAGGCCTACTTCAAAGAATATCTTTAAAAAGGTGTGTTTTTATTAACTGTTATTTAAAAATTGTTTACAGCTTATATTCAGCAAGCATTTACATTGTTAAATTCTGTTCCTTATTGGCAAGAAGACGACAGAATTTCTTTCTCACTCAACGGGGTGTTTACGGTATTAAACTTAAGCTCACAAGTTCCACATAGCCTTTTAAGTTTTTGGTCTCTGCCCCATCCTGCAACATTCTTGGTTAACAATATAGAGGTCCACCAACCTACTGAACACATCCATAACAATAGTTCCTATTGAATTTTGCCTGTTTTCTAATAAATGAAATCTAAGGTATCATCTCAATAAAAAATATAACCAAATCTCGTCAATAACCTGCTTTCCCATCCTGGATAACAAATACAATAACTGCATCCTTCAGGAATCAAAACATAAGGCCCATGGAAACAAAACATTGTTTACAAACAG